AATAATTATTTTTTGCTTTTCTTGGGTTAAATCGGAAACTTTTTGCTTTTACTTGATGCTGAATATGTTTGAAAAATGAATCTTTCTGGTGGGCAACTAAATAGGAAAATACTGTTATCAACCTAATTCTAAAAACAGTTCCAATAAACTTGAATTCAGTTTTCGTAATAAACTTTGCTACGGAGATCTAGATATTTTTTGTTGTTGTTACTATTGCTTTAGTGCTGATATATTAGGTTGGCACATAAGTTTTGCAACTTTTCCCGTAACTTTTTTCCTATTTTATGTAGCAATCTCATTTTGTGGCGTCATGTAGATCGTGATGTAAGCTGCAAGTCTTTGCAAACCGTTTGATTTTTGATAACGTAGTACAAGAAATCTAATCATTTTTTGAAAACTGCTGAAAATCGAGGTTTCACGATTTTTTGGCAAATATGAAGCCCTACGAAACCTGATTCAAACATGTGAAAAAGCAATTATAGGCAGCATGTAGCGGGAAGTTGGCGCATTGGAATCAGTGAAAAAGAAATGAAATCTTAACACAAATTAAGGTGGGCCGCCTTTGAGAAGTTGAACAAGTCAAATGCGTCAAGTTTTGAAGGCAATTTGTCAATAACTAAGCTGCGAAAAGTCAGATTTCGCTATAACTTTGCACTATAGGGTAATCCTATGCGGTAAACACGAATATCATATTCATTTCTCGCTGAAATGAAATTCATGTTTTGATCTCACGAACAAGGCCTTTTCATGCGAAACGGATCTCATTTTTGTGATCAGCATGTCAAATAAGCCCTACAGGCCAAGTTTCAGCAAAATCTGATGCATTCTAAAAATTTTCCCATAGTACCGTAAACCTACCGTAATCCTCACATAAGATGGTAAAATTCGGCAAAAATGTGTGCATTAGAAGCTTACATCATATTCCTTATATTGCCAAAAAATGAATGCGCTACGTTCAAATAGACAAAAGTTATATAAAAATTTGCATTACTTATGTGCCAACCTAATATTAGGTTGGTGCAAAAGGAATGGCCGATTTGCGAATTCTCAATTTGACGTGGTATAACTTTCTAAAGAATCCATATTTCTGAATGCGGTAAAGACCCTCAGAAGCAGCAAATTTTTCGCCATACAGCGCATACTTATTTACCAGTGCGTCACCTCCGCTTCGCGGAGGTTCGCACTGGCTCCCTATCCGTATGCCTTTCTTATGTTCGCATGAGAATGGCTTTGAAACTCACCACGCGATGATGAGCATCACAAATGAATCGTAAACAACTGTTCATTCATGAAGCATCTTCATGTAAGATCGGTAATTTTGTGAAAAAAAACTTTGTTGCATGGAAACAAATGCGAATTTGAACGGATTACACTGAATTTATTTTAGTTTGGTAATCGTCATAAGGATAATAGTCACCTTGGGCTACATTTTAGTGCAAAAATCTTTTCAGTTTTTTCAAATAAAACCTTGCCAAATCGACCATCTACGCGTTCATCACTTTCTGGCGCTGTTTTCGCAAAAAAGCAACCTTTTTGAGCATTTTTTGGGCTAGAATTCATGGCGCGCAGAGTTACTTGTCAGGCAAATCACAGCTTTGCAAAAAGTCGAATTAGCGACCCAGTTTTGCGTGCCAAAAGGCGCGTGGACCCGTTTGACGCGTAAATTTTGAGGGACCCGTTCATCGAACCGGCTCGTCCTTGCGCATGGTGGGCCTACACGCTGGCACGGTATGTTATGCAAAATTGCAGCCCGATAGCTTAGCTGCATCTTCCTCTATGAATTTCGTGACAGACAGATTTTCACACAGACACACAGACAGACACACAAAGAAACAGACGGCCTTAGCGCGTTATTATAGTAGGATACTCAAACCATAAAAGGCAAGAGAAATACGGACTAAAAGATAAAGAAGGTTCTTCTGCTAGAACCTTCTTTTTGACAATTCATAACTTCCTTCAATGTTTTTTAGTATAAATGATAAGTGGCCTATCTTGTAGCCACAAGCCAGTAGTACAAAATGCATTAAAAGAATTCGGACAAAAAAGTTTGCGAAAGAGAGAAAAATTGAAATTTAAAATTTAGTTTTTTCAACATTTTTTCACTGTGCCTCAAAGTCCGGAATGTAGAATTTTCTGATTTTCTACGTACTGAACAGCTGGATGTTTTTGCAAAAACTGTTAATAAATGTCCTAGCCCTACGCTTACACAATTGAGCAAAGCTTCGGCGACTGACTTCCTCAGAAGAAAATTATGGGTCATAAAATGACCGCAATAGCTACCCATGTTTAGGCGCCGATATCTCAGTCTGGATAACTTCAAAGAATGCAGTTAAGTACGCATGATGTAGACAATTTCTTTTACATACAAGAGCTAAGTTTTCGAAGAAATCCCATTGATACGCGCTTAAATTCTGGCCGGAAAAGTGAATGCAATGAAATTCTGAATTTGGATGCGGTTATTTGAAGCTCAGTAACTTTACAAAAAATGATGATGAGAGCCCGTTTTAAGTAACGTTAGATAGAGCATGAAAACAGCATCGCGATGGTATACTACATCTATTGTAAAGAAGCAGAGTTGATGGGGAAAAGTTGCCCTGAAAAAGGCTTAGAAAATCGGCCATTTCTTTTGCACCAACCTAATAGATCTAGTAAAAAATCACTCAAAATAGTTGGTACTTTCTGTAATGCGAAATTTATTTTTCAGGAATAAGAGTGCCTTAAGCTTTTTGACTGATGTTATAACAGCATACACGTGACCGACCGTTATATACCATTGGTTGTGTACCGAATC